ACACAAATAACCCAACCAGAAACTGGGCCAAGGAACTGAACAGATGCTTCTCAGAAGATGACATACAATCAATCAACAAATATATGAAAAAATATTCAATATCTCTAGCAATTAGAGAAATGCAAATCAAAACTACTCTTAAGATTTCATCTCACTCCAATCAGAATGGCAGCTATTAAGAATACAAACAAAAATAAGTGTTGGAGAAGATGTGGGGAAAAAGACACACTCATACATTGCTGGTGAGACTGCAAATCAGTGCAACCAATCTGGAAAGCAGTATGGAGATTCCTTGGAAAACTTGGAATGGAACCACCATTCGACCCAGCTATCCCACTCCTTGGTTTATAACCAAAGGACTTAAAAACAGCATACTACAGGGACACAGCCACACCGATGTTTGTAGCAGCACCATTCACAATAGCTAAATTGTGGAACCAACCTAGATGCCCTTCAGTAGATGAATGGATAAAGAAATTGTGGTATATATACACAATGGAATATTATTCAGCATTAAAAGAGTATAAAATCATGGCATTTCTAGGTAAATGGATGGAGTTGGAGAATATTATGCTAAGGGAAGTAACCCAACCCCAAAAAACCAAAGGCCAAAGGTTTTCTCTGGTATGTAGATGCTGATCCATATGGCGATGGGGCAGGGGGGTGAAGTATAGGAGGAATGGAGAAACTTTAGATAGGGCAAAGGGGAAGGAGGAGAAGGGAAGGATAATGTGGGTAGGAAAGATGGTGGAATGCCATGGACATCGTTACCCTAAGCACATGTATGAAGACACGAATGGTGTGACTCTACTTTATGAACAACCAGAGACATGAAAAATTGTGCTATATAAGTGTACTATAAATTGAAATGCATTCTGCTATCACATATAACAAGTTAGAATACATAAATAAATTTAAAATTGAAAAATTTTAAAAAGAACAAATATCTAAGAAAGAAAAAAAGAGATACTAAGATATAAACAAGCAATTCACAGCATGGTGAAACAAAAAATAAATATTTAACCTCTGATAATCAGAGAGAGACAAATTTTTAAAATTCCACTTTAAGTAAATAAAGCTTAAAATAATCATAAAATCCATTGTTGTGGGTTTAGGAAAACAATATTCAGATACAAATATTGGTAGAAGTCTGAATTGGTTTCAATAGTTAATATGGTTAGAAAATTTTTTTAAAGTCCAACACCCTTTGACTAAGTAATTTCTCTTATATAGAGAGAGAGAGACTCTGCACCTAACAGAAGAAAAAGTAGGCCCAAATCTTCAGCATGTTGAAGATCACTGCAGCTGTTGTGTAATTAAAAAAAAAAACTAAATGTTTGACATCAGGGTTTAAACAAATGATGGCACATACACACGTTAAATTGACACATGGCCATTTAAAATACTGCTGATATAAATTGTTCCAGTTTTCTATTATGCATTAAAAATCACCCAAAATTTCACAGCATATGGTAATAATTACTTCAAGTAAGATGTACTGATTAATGCTAAAATTTGTAGGCAAAAATCTACAGAGAAACTGAATATTTGCATAGCTTTAAAGTAGCTCCCCCAGGATATTTATTAAGTGCAAAAGGAAAAATAGTAACCTTACAGTGGAAAAATCCAGCAGGCACTTAACTAAGTGATTAGAGTTAACACAATCAATAATACATCATCATTATGAATCCCAAGTGTGACTGAGGGAGGACACATAATTTCTGAGATTCACCTACTAAAAATGAATAATTTTCATCTAATCATGAGAAAACATCACACAAACCAAAATTTAAGGATATTTATGAAAATAACTACTCTCGAAAGGGGTCACAAAAGACGAGGAAAGATTGAGGTACCATCACAGATTAGAGGAGACAAGGAGACGTAATACCTAAATGCAATATGGGGTACTGGGTTAGATGCGAAAAAATGGGAAGGATATCAGTGGGAAAGCTGGTACATTTTTAGAAGTTTACTGTTTAATTAACAGTACTGTAGCAATGTTGATTTCTTAGTTTTGATTATAGTACTATGGTAATGCAAAACATTAACATTAGACGAAGCTTAGGCAAGGGTATACAAGAACTATACCTATTTCAAAATAAAAAATAAAACTTGATAGCATAAAACAATCACCATGGCACCATGCTCATGCTTCTATGCGTTAGGAATTTGATGCCTATAGCAGTTTGTCTCTTAGGAAAGGGGCCTTGACTGGCTAGGTCCTGCATTTGGTTGTAGAAATCTGGTGCAGCTCAATGTCTTGCCTTGGTAATTTTCTGTGGTGTTTTCTCAGTCTGAAATGTCCACAGTTACTTTTGTGTGTGTGTGTGTGTGTGTGTGTGTGTGTGTGTGTGTGTGTGTGTGAAGGATTGAACCCAGGGACATTTAACCACTGAACAACATCCCTAGCCCTTTTTATGTTTTATTTTGAGACAAAGTCTCCCTAAGTTGCTTAGTGCCTCACTAAGTTGCTGAAGCTGGTTTTGAACTTGTGATCCTCTGCCTCAGCCTCTGGAGCCACTGGGATTATAGGCAAGAGCTACCATGCCCAGCTTACAGTTCCTTCTTAATTCACAACTTTAGTGCCGGCACTGAGATAATTAGAACAGCTGGTAAGTCAGTTTCCTAAGGATGCTGTAACAAATTACCAAGGGCTAGGTGGCTGAAAACAATATAAATTTATTCTCTAGATATCTAAAATCACAGTGTTGCCAGAGAATTTCCTTCTTTGCATTTTCCTAGTTTATGTGGCTCCCAGCTATCCTTGGTAGTCCTTGGCTTGTAGCTACATAACTCCCATCTCTGCCTCTATCTTTACAGGTCTTCTTCCCTGTATCTTGGTGTCTCTATATCTTTAAGTCCTCTCTTATGCTTATTTTATGAAAATAAGGGACATCAGTCATTGGATTTAGGTCCATCCTACTCTATTATGCCTCATCTTAATTAAGTATATCTGTAAAGACCCTATTACCAAATAAAATTACATTCTGCAATTCCAGGTAGTCATGAATTTGAGGGGGACATTATATCCTAGAACTGGCCAGAATTATTTTCTCTCTGCCTAACCTTTCTCATGACCTGTCTGGGCTTTCTCACAGCACAGCAGATTCAGGGTGGTTTGGCTTTCATCTGCATAAGCCAGGAAAAGAAACAGAAATTGCCAGTCTTCTTAAAGGCAAGGCCTAGAAATGGCATAGTATTGCCTTGGCTATATCAGTCAAAGTTATTCCAGGCTAGCCCAGACTGAAAAGGGCGGGAGAAATTATGTCTCTTAATGAGGAATAGAATGAAAGTACATAGAGGGAAGGCACTGAGGGCAGCCATTTTGGGAACAAGCTACCACAGAGATTCTTAGTAACAGTTAAAGGGGTTCATGAGATACAAACCAGTGGAGAAAAAGCTTAAAAAACACCATAAATCCAATTTTATCCCATTTTTATCCTTAGATAGATAGGTAGGTAGATACAGATGTTTACACTAAACATGTCTCAAAAGAAAAATAATAAACCAAATTATCAAAAATAATAAACCAAATTATTAATAGTGATTATTTCTGCATGTTGACAATTTAGGTGATAGCAATTTTTTTCATTCTGTTTACCCATGTTTTCCAACACAATTAATTACCGATGTTACTTCTGTAATAAGGTAGAAGTAGCAGAAAGTAAACTATCTAGGATTTTAATATAGAGAAGCTAATTTTTTGTTGTTTCAATTAGGATATACAAATGGCAAGGTAAATTTCAATAAGGTCACTCCAGCTATGGATCTAAGAAGTTGAAATTTTGAAAGATTGATTTTTTTTTAAAGTCCTTCATTACAGAAGGGGCAACCCAGATGAAACACCCATCTTCTTAAGGAGAAACATTTTGGTGCACTATAAACTCAAATCTCTCAAGCCCTAGCAGCTTCTGAGCTCTTAATACTAGTCCAGAAAGGAATAAACCTGAAGGAATATTATTCACAACAAAGATCGACTATTGTTCCACTAAAAGTGCTTCAGTAGTCTGAATCAGATTTTTGGAGTTCCACAATGTTAGACATTCACTTTATATAAGATAAAAAGATCCCAGTATTCTGAGAGAACTCAGGACACTGCTTAGAGCTCTTCCACCACAAAGACCACCTATGGGATATTGACTAAAGGATTCCAAAAGTAGCCAAGCAAAACGTATCAACTGCTTCCACTCTCTAAAAGTTTCACTATTAAGTAAGTGGGTTTAAGAATATATGACTACATCATATTTACATTTGAAAAGAACATTCACAATTTTACACATACACACAAAGGGATAAGTAGAAATACATGTGCAGAACTAATTGGTTAGTCTGAAAAATTAGGAGTGTAAGATAATAGGATATATCAGAAGTAGATTTTTATGAAGAGGGTTGCATAGGCCTGAGTGTTTTACCTGGTGAGATAGAGGACTATCAGAATAAAATATCCTCTAGAAGAATCAAACAGGGACAGAAAGTAAGGGCAAAGACATAGTGGGCCTGTTTCTCAATTTGTCCATGCTCTATTAAGATACAAATACTTAAACACAATGAAACATACCTAAGCTCAGAGTAATTTCATATCATATTTCCTCTAAAGAAGAGTCAAATTCACGAAGAAAAGGGGAAATTTTGGATCAGGAATTTAACTTTAATCCAAATCTTGTCTGACTCAGATAAAAACAAGGATGAATGACATCTACTCACCAATAGTTTCTTCAGATGCAGCAGTCAAAGATAAAAATTTCTTTGTATTTTCCATCTCCTCATTACTTTGCAAAGCTTCACTATTTTTTGCAGACTATGAAATAAAAATTAAAATTTAAACAAGAAGATAGCTATACTCACTGATTTTTTAATTATAGCATAGTTTCCTATCATATACATACAAACAAGAATCCTCAGGCCATTCATATTCCTTTAAATAGGAAATTTGTTAATATTTCCTGTTTCCACAAAATTGTGTCAAAAGATATTTCCAGATAGAGTTGAAATATATGTCTATCATCAACATATGATAATCACTTTGCTTAAAAAATCTTAAGTTTCTGTTAGATATTTTTATAACTAAAGAGTAACCTAAAGGTATAATCAAATTGAAATTTCAGACATTTCAAGTATATTACTGTTTCTATTTATAATTCTTATTTCAAAGGAAATAAAAACAATTTGAGTTTCCATAAGAAAAAGTGATAAACTAACTTTTTCTGCAAGATTTATAGAAATCATTTTTCTAGTTTAAAACACTGCATTTGGGGTTGCTTTCTTTCATCTCAATGGCCTTCCTGAGATCTCTGTAAAAAATGTATTCACAATTATTTCCTTCTTAATTCATAATACTGCCTAGGCCTAGGAAATTTCCTCCGAAGTCATTAGATGATTAAGAATTATTTTATCAAAAACAACCAATTTATTATCACAAGGTTCCTATCTCACAGGTGCTCTCCTTTCAGGGGCAAAATACAAATAAGAGTCAATGGCTCTATACCAAATCAGTAACAACATCTGGTCAACCTCAACCCCTTAATACTACAGAAAATAAGAAGTCCAAGAGAGCCAATGTTAATGAAGCACCAGAAATTTGTTGAAACAAAAACGATTTGAGCATGGCTCATTCCTCAAGTACCTTACAGTTTCCTGAAGAGATTTGACCAACACATGAAACAGTAAACTCCCAACTTGATTGTCATAAATGTTACTCAAGTAATAAACTAACTAGGGAATTCAATTTTTGTGTATTTTCCTGTTTATCTCCAAAATGTAAGCTCACTGAAGAAAAAGCAAATATACATTCTTGATGAAAGCAGACATCATACACTTCCCTATTCCAGAGATTGAGGAGCTCTAATCTGACACTAGTAAGACAGGTCAATGAGCATGCTAGCACAGTGCCCAAAGTCTCGTTCCAGAAACATTTCACCCCTGTACCCAGCACATACACACATATTCATGCTATGTCACCACCTCCACAAAATAACAAAGGCAGACCACATTAACACTATCACAGTCCATGCTTTTCTTATTCTCTTAGAGGAAATTGTTTCTTACTATTGGCACATAGTTGTACAATTCTTACCTTAAGTTCTTCCCACAACTTTATTCTCATTTCTAGACCTTGCTTCTTAATTTCTTTTTCTCTGTATTGTTTTTTTGCCAATATTTTATCAAGTCTGTTCATTTTATAAATAGCACCTTGAAGTTGAGAGTCTACTTCTTTTAATTTGGTTTCATCTATATTGTGTTGAAAGTAGAAACAGGTTTGAAGTTTAATAAATCCATAAAGTTTTATTGTTTTTAGTCTTTATTCTTTGACTTAACAACTATGTATAGTGACAATAGTAACTATTGTATTGACGTCATGTAACCAACTTGATTTACAAGGTACTTTCATATATTTTTTTCATATAATTATCTAATAACTCTGAAAAATAGACATTTGTCTCTATTTTACAGTTGAGATAACCAGGCCTTTTCATAAGTTGTTCCCTTATTATTTTAAATCCCAAATTTTCTCCTTCCTTCTTCTATACATTCCCTATCCATGATTAACAAATAGTAAATAAGGAATAAGACATATATCCTATCCTAAAATTGCTGAAGACTCCAAACTCTTTCTCGAGAAACAGAAGGCATGTATAGAGAGCTACAGTAAAAAGTAGTATATCAGGGCTAGGGATGAGGCTCAAGCGGTAGCAGGCTTGCCTGGCATGCGCGCGGCACTGAGTCCGATCCTCAGCACCACATGCAAATAAAGATGTTGTGTCTGCTGAAAACTAAAAATAAATAAATAAATATTTAAAAATTCTCCTCTCTCCCTCCCCCCCTTTTAAAAAAAAAAGTAGTATATCATAAGCAACACAAAGTGGTTCAACATACAGAAGAAACAAGCTCCAATAAGTACCTAATGTAGGCAGACACTTTTCTCCATGCCCCTCCATGTTTCTAATTTCTTAAAGCACTTAAAAATGCTTTGACTACCAGGGATGGTGGCACACACCTGTAATCCCAGTGGTTCGGGAGGCTAAAGCAGAAGGATTGCAAGTTTGAGGCTAATCTCAGCAACTTACCGAGGCCCTAAGCAACTTAGCATGATCCTGTCTCAAAATAAAAAATAAAAAGAACTGGGGTTGTTGTTCTCCCAGTTAAGCACCCCTGGGTTCCATCCCTGGTACCAAAATAAAAAATGATCTTCCATCATTCAAATTTTAATTTAGAATTAATGATAATGAGGGCAGCTTACAGAGTGACCTGTGGCACATTAAGAGCTTTATTTACATGCATTACTCATTTAACACTCACCTTAACTCTGTAAAGTGGCATAGTCATTGTCTTCATTTTAAAAATTAGTAAACTGACATTAATATGTACCTGAGTTCATACATGTAATATAACTAGTAAATATAGAGTCAGTTCCACCCACATCTGTCTGACTCCAGCTCTTAGCCACCAAGCAATAACACACCCTCTATGAAATCTGATGAAATTTGGTTCTCTGGCAATGAGCATAAATGTTCAAGTATTAAGTCTTAGTCATCTCAGGACAAATCACTTTAAATGGAATATTATGCTAAATGAGGCCAAATTTAGCAATTTTTGAAAATCCAAAGAGACCAGTGATGTGTCCCCATAACATACATTGCTTCCTCTTTAAGGAAAAAAAAGAGGGAGATATTTTTAGAAGAAGGAAGTTTATTCAAAAAGAATATTAATCTTATCAATAAGAAGTATCCTCAAATCTTATTGCTTATATAATTCAAATGTAATACCCTTTAGTTCTAATTCCCAACTACTAATCCTAGCATTCTCAAGCTCCATCTAAGTAGTCTATATAATAGGCATTTTTAAGTAATTCACACAGTACTAAAAATATATTTTAAAATACCGTGTAGACTGGGCCAATAGCTAATCTCAAATATAATATCTTATTTCCTGATAACTGTAATCCTGAGTCACCTGCCTAACTTTAAGAACTCATCTCATCCCAACCATATTCTAAATTAGCAGCTCTCAAACTTTTTTGTCATAGTCCTCTTCACCACCTCAAAATTATTGAGAGCCCAAAGTAGTCTTCATGTATGTAGGTTATATCTTTTTATAATTACCATCTTAGAAAGCAGAACTGAAAATTATTGTAAAATACATTTATTCATTCATTTTAAATAATAGTAAACAAAGTATTACTAATTACATGTTAACATAACTAACATGTTATAATTATTAGTCTTCCAAAATATTAGTGAGCAGACTAGCATTATTTTCAACTTTTAATATCTGGATTAATAGAAAACATCTAGATTCTCATATGTACTTTTACAACCTATTGTAATTTTATGTTTTGATTGAAGTACATGAGGAAAATTTGGCCTCACATAGATATGTAGTTGGGAAAAGAGAGATTTAGTAGTCTATCAAATAACTAGTTATTTTTCTTTAGTACTGTACCAAAATTCGTCAGGGGTAGCTTCTTAAAGGTTAATTGTAGTGTGAAACCTGTAACCATATCAGTGAGCTTTCTGAGTTTGTTCCACTAAAATCTTTGGCTCTGTCTTTCATGTTGAATGAATCTTTAATCCTGCATTTGCCATTTGGAAAGTAGTGGCTAACAGAATTATGCACGAATTCAAAATATAAACGTATTTCATTATACAATATTCAAAAGTCACATTTGTTAATATTACCACCTATTTTTATCAAAAAAGTCTAAGTATTGATAAGCTATTGAATAACATTCACAAGTTTTCCAAAATTCTAATTTTCATGTAAATGCTCAAATTTTACCATTAGTAGCAGAATGCTCAAATTTTATCATTAGTAGCAAATACTATAGTAGTTTTCCTTGAAGTATAAGACTTGCTTTATCTTTAAAAGAAAAAATAAGTCTGCCAAATACAAAAGTCTGAATGATACCAGTTTGCCTGTCAGTTGTTATTTCAAATAAAAATGGTGTTCCACAAAAAATTGGGCAGTTTAGCTCCCAGTTCAAGTTATCACACAAGTACTTTTCTTCAACACAACCTTCCCACCTTAGAATACACAAAATTCTTTTATGTCTACTTCCTTGCCACGCAGGATATTAAGATGATGTATACTGGCTTAAGATCTAATAATATTAATATTTTCTACTACTTCATTAAGGACATCCTGAGTGACACTGGTTATTTATTTTTCTTGCCAGTAACTGGTTGTAAAAACACAGTGATTTCTAATACAATTTGGTGCCACTGTCTCAATTCATGCCAAGGCACCAGAATATTTCCCACCATTGTTTTTATACTATCAGTACCAATACTGACACAGTAGACAAAGAGGAAAACAGCATCTCAGTGCAATTATGAAAGTTGTGTTCATTCTGCAGAGTCCCCACAAGGGTCTTCCCAGGGCTCTGCAGATCACATTTCAGAACTGCTCTTCTAATTCTATCTGACCAGAATTAATTCAATTGCATGGAAAAAAGGTACATTTAAAATCAAAATGTTATCAATTTTGAGTGGGATTGGCCCTAAAAAGGGCATTTACAAATTATAGGATATATTTTATTGTGCAATTTTAGTAATCAAAATGATCCATAAATCATGCCATAATATGTAAAATAATCCCTACTTGATTATTGTAAACTGAACATGAAAACAATTTTATTAAATGTCATATTTTATTACATTTCTAAATATATTTAAGGGTTCTTAATGTTCTTGTAAGTATAAATTGGTGATCATTCTCTTACAAAAATGTAATTATGCCTCCTTATTTTTTAGTTTATTGTTTCTACTTAGTTGATAAAAACACATATAATTTTAATATTTTAAATAAAATATCTGTAGTTATCATTATCCAATCAACTTGTGATTATCCTACCTGAACATTCAGGGGTCATCTGATGTTGAATCAAGTCCAGATCTTCAACTGGCCCCTGTTTAGCCAGTTTTATTTTCTCAGAGTTTGCCCCTTTATCATCATTATTATATCTTCCTTCCTCTGTATTACTGCTTTCTGAGTGGTCCTCCTTACCAGAATTCAATGTGCTTACAGTATCAACCTAAAAATAATTTTTAAAAATTTTCCAAAAATAATGTATTTTCTCCTGCTGGACTAAAGGACATTGAAATAACATAATTTGTTTTCTTAAAATATGATATTTTCAAATATTTAACACTAATGGAAGCATATGTAGAGACATATTTAAATATATACACTGGCATTAAAGTATCTAGAAATATAACGAAGTTTACTTAAATGTAATTTAACTACACAAATTTAATAACATCTATACCAAATATCTACCATTCTCCAACAATCTCTATCAATAATGGAGAAAGGTCAAAATCAGTCCTAAAGTGAACTGCTACCAGCCAGGCTCTTGAGATGATACACGATGAACCCCTTTGAACTCATATGTGGGTGAGCAGTCAGAGATCTAGAGCTGTGCTGTCCAATATGACAGTTATTTTCCACTATCAAATGGCTGAAAAGTGGCTAATCTGAATCGAGATGTGCTTCTAATGAGAATCTTATCATCAGAATACTGTGCTTTGATTATTTATTTTTATACCATTCATATTTTTTTCCATTTCATCTTGGTTTCCCTTTGTATTTTAGCAAAGTTCACTTTGCAAACACCAGTTTGGCACAGTTGCATTTTCCTGAGAGAAAACAAGAAAAGGCATCATGACTGGGGGGTCAGGAGAAAACAGAGATTACAGGACTTTGAAGCAACAGAAGTGAACAGAGCCCAAGAGAGTTGAGGTCTCAGGTAGACAGGGTCAGCCACTTCTCAAGGATATACCTTTCCTTTCCCAATGAAAGACTGTCTGCTCTAGCCCTTCCGGCCTCAGCCATTGGAAGGTTTTTGTTGTCCCCATCCACAAGCTCAACTCTCCATTACCGCAATGCAAATCTCCAGGACAGAAAATGGGTGCTACTGAGGATTAAAGTGCTAGGAATGCAGTTCCCTGGGCAAGCATCTTTGCCTGACATGAAACATAAACCTAGCAGAACTGAGTTGTCAGTATATAATAATCACTACCAACATTTATTGACGAATTGCAATCAACCATGTCCAGTGCTAAGTACTTTATATACACTGTGCCATTCACTACTCACAATGACCCTATGCTATAGGTGCTAGTACCCCACTTAAACATACGAGAATACAGATGTAGAGAATAAAACTAAATTATAAATACCCAATTCAGAAAGGATTATAAAGGCAAAAAGAAGAATCAAAAGTCTTGAGAAAAAGCCAAGACACTGTCAAGAACAGAAAAATTAAAAAAAAAAAAAAAAAAAAAAAAGCTCCAAAAAAAAAAAAAAAAAAACACTTTATTAGATTTTTAAATTCAATGGGTAGACTGAAAAACAGACTTGATATATTAAGAAATAATTCCAAACCCAAAAAGTAGTTACAAATTACTCACAATAAAGCACAGAAAGATAAATGATTAGAAACTATCAAAAAGAAAAGGGATATAAAAGATATAAAGGTAAGATATTTAATATTACTTCTAGAATGAGAAAACAGAAAAACTATATAGGGAAAGTTAGAAATGTGAATATTTGAAAACATAAAAGTAATTTAACATTTGAAATATGGCTTAAAATTTTCCAAAATAAATGGAAAACAACAAATCCTTTAAGAAGTTCTAGTCTCCGGAAGGAGAAATTATGTAAACCCATCCTAGGTAAGTATCAATGGACACCAAACACGAAGAGAAAAAATTAAAGCAACCAAATAAAACGAAGCCAGACAACCTACAGCAGAATGAATATATTAGGTCACAAAAGCCTTTTCATTGACCACAAGAGAACCACAAGCCAAATGTGTGATAGCTTCAAAGTGCTTTGTTAAAAAAAAATAGTCAAACTAGAAAATGAACACATTTTCAAAAGCAGATTTAGTATTTGCCACTCATGGGTTCTCAAAGAAAGATTACTAAAAGATGTAGATAAACTGATCAATAGATACAGATAATACAAAATGAAGATTAAAGATAGAATAAAGAAGATTTAGTTTTCCAAAAAGCCAGGATAAACAAAAAAAAAAAACAGTAAACATATAAGTAAATTGAAACCTAAAGCATAAACAATAATGATGTAAATAATATCCATAGAGAATAATAATTACATGTAAATTAGAAAAAGTGACAATATAATATCTAAAGTCTTTGCATTTTTTAGAAGGAAAAAGAAATATTGGTAAACTTTAGAATTTGTTCATCAAATTCTAAGAACATAAATATAATTTTCAAATCAGTAAACTGAAACAGAAAAATATAATCAGTTAATATTAATAAAATGCAAGAAAAAACCAAGAGACTAGATAAATTCAAATGTTATTTAAACATATATTTTACAGATTAGATAAAATGAAAAAAAAATGTGCATTTTACCCGCTAGTTTAAAAGAGATTTTCCAATTAAATAAAATAAACAAAATCCAACTTAAAACATAAAGGCACAAGAAGGTTAAAAATTATTTGAAGCTGCTATATTAATATTTAACAAATATATACCCTTATAAAAAAGTAACCTTGACCTATACTTCATGACTTAACATAAAAATTAATTAAAAATGAATCATAGGTCTAAATGCAAACAAACTATAAACTGTCAGAGAAAAACAGGAGAGAAATCTTTAGAACTTTGAGTTAGACAGAGTTTTGTGATACAACGCCAAAATCACAATCTCAAAAGAAAAAAACATGGTAAAATGTTCTTAAAATGTAAAATGTTTATGCTCTAAAAGACACAGTTGAAAGAATGAGAAGTCAAACCATTGACTGGGACAAAATACTGTCACATATCTGACAACAGACTCTATTTAGAACATATTTAAGAACTCTCAAAAGTTAACAAAAAAGAAATATAGTTTAAACAATTCAACAAAAAATATGAATAGACATTTTTCAAAAAAGATATGTGGATTTCAAATAAACATATGAAACATTATGAATTCTATTCATCACTAGAGAAATATAAGTTAAACTACACTGAGATACTACTATATGTCTATTAGAAAGGCTTGAAAAAAAAAAACTGATTAAACCAACTGCTGGCAAGGATGCAGAGCAACAAGTACTCTTGTACATCACTGGTGGAAACAGAAAACACTTATTGTTAAACATACACTTATCATCCAATCCATAAATCTCACTCTTAGGTATTTACTCAAGAGAAATAAAAACTTATTTACCTACAAAATTATATTTTGATTTTTATATATATATAAAAAATTTATTCATAATCACTAAAAACTGGATTCAATTCAAATGTTCCTCAACTAGGAAACAAATCATGGTATACTCAGCAATGAAAAAAAAATTAACTTTGATACATGCAACTAAGTTGATGCTTCTCAAAGGCAGTATTTACATTAGGAGATAAAATAAGACCATATGACTCTATGTATATGACCTCCTAAAAAAAGAAAAACTACAGGAACAGAAAATAGATTAATAATTTTCAGGAATTAAGGCTGGGAGGTGATTATTTACAAAAGAATAGAATAAGGGAATTTTTTGAGGAGTTTACAAAACTGTTCTATATCTTGATTATATTAATGGTCACATCACTCTATTTGCCAGATCTCACAGAACCATACACCAAAAAGTGAATTTTACTGTATGTAAAATTTTTAATTAAAAAATAGAAGTTAATAAGAGATAAAATGAGTCACAATGTTAGAAGGGAGGATTTAAAATCATATAGCTATAAATTCTCCCCCAAATTAATCTACATATTCAAAATAATTTAAATCAAAACCCCAACAGAGTCTGGGGTTTGGGCTCAGTGGTAGAGCATTTGCCTCACACATGTGGGACCCTGGGTTTGATCCTCAGCACCACATAAAAATAAATAAGTGAAATAAAGATATTGTGTCCAGCTAGAACTAAAAAATAAATATTTTTTTAAAAAAACCAACAGTAGGGGCTAGGGTTGTGGCTCAGTGGTAGAGTGCTCACCTCGCACGTGTGAGACTCTGGGTTCGATCCTTTGCACCACATAAAAATAAATAAGCAAATAAAGATATTGCGCCCATGCATAACTAAAAAATTTTTTTTAAAAACCAACAGTATTTTTAGAACTTAAAAAGCTGATCTAAAATATATCTAGAAGAACAAAAAACCAAAGATTGCTAAGACAGTCCTGAAAAAATAATAAGATGAGGCAAACCACTCTATCAGATTTTAGTAATTATTTAGTAAAGCTACAAGAGTTAACACACCATATAGTAATAATATAAGATTAGATGAAACAAAAACAGAGAGCTCAGGCAGAAACTGTATTTTACAAAGTCACTTGACACGAGGGTTCTGGAAGCATGTTAGGATCATCTACTTAGATGTACCTGCACAAGGTGGAAAGCAAAAGTGGGGTAGAAGCCATCTAAGATCCTGATAGGAATCTGGCAAAATATATCAAAGATGGTCATATCTGAATGTCTAGTTCACCAGCTCTGTAGTTATGAGAAGCTTGTGGCAGTGCTAGAAACAGCAGCAGTAGCAGTTTTCTGATCTCTGTATTGCAGCATAGTGGTGTGACGTGGGAACCAAAAATCCAGGGGAAGCTCTCTCCTTGGACTACATTTCCTGCTGGCCTTCTGTTGGTTTTGAGGAACTGGATTTTTGTAGTCAAATCTTGTCTGCTAGAAATATCTAGAGTGCTATTTCTTACACTAAATCATGATAGACAAAAACTCTCGGAGTTCCATAATGCAAAGTCTAATCCATAAATCAACAACAAAAAAGTTAGTATGAGTTCATTAACTTTCAGAGATTTTTTTCATCATAAATTTCAAATTTTTTCCTCTACAAACTTAAAAGGAATAAATTATACCACATCAGACTTGATAAAACTGATTATTTTTAAAAATCAGTTGAGATATTTTAATTAAAGAAGACGTACTACAAGAAAAAGAGAGAGAATATAAAAGAAAGTTATGAACAGATAATACACCTAACAAACAGACCACATGGCTTCAAACCATTTTTTTAAATACTGAATCATTTTCATGGTAAATGTTGATGGATACATATTAGATATTGGAATACAAATTTTCCTTATGAAGTAAAAAAAAGTCAACACTTTCTAAAAAGTCATCAAACTTTTAACAAATTACAACGTGAACAAATAAACCACACTCCAAAATAAAGAAGGGAAGGAAGAAAGGAGTCAGAGTACTTTCATATTAAACACTCAAGTAAAATCCAAGAAATCTGTGAATGCTTCCTGAAAATGCCCTTTAAAGAGGAAAAATAAGGGGGAATGTTAACAACAAGATTGGTTTCATCAGTTACTGATTCTGAGAGAAGGAATTCAGAAGCAAATCACCTTGAAGGAACCTGGTTCTGGTGAGAGCACCTCCAGAGAACTTGCATTTGAACTTCTGCTCCCAGGACGTGTTCTTGAATTTGAGGCTGGTTTTGAAATCCCATCTAGGTTTCCCTTTATAATATCCATTGGTATCCTAAAACAAACAAAAAATGAAAAAGCAAGTAACTTGGAAATTTAAGTGTTAGTTTAATGTTAATATAGTTTAATAAACATTAGTTAATGTTTATATCCAATTATTCAGTCTGTTTTAAGTATTACATTACTATCAAAGTCACACTTATGAGTACCCCAATTTCATCAAAAGTCATCTTGTGTACATGAATTATTAAATCTATGCCATTGTAAGTACAAAACTGCCTCAGATGTTAGATGCCGAAAGTACCTATAACAGAATGCAGAAGCATTTACTGGGGAATGAATCCTTGGCCTTGCAAATGCTTAGGCAAGTGCTCTACAATGAGTTGCTTCTCCAGTCCCTTTTATTCTTTGAGACAGGGTCTCTCTAAGTTGCCCAGGTTGGCCTCCAACTTGTGTTCCTCCTGCCTCAGCCTCCTGAGTAGCAGGAATTACTGCCTATGCCACCAGGCCCCACTCATCTTAATGGTGCTCTAAGGCCTCCCTGCTATCTTCTTCTGGTTTTGCCTTCCTTATTCTAGACTTTCCTATTTCAGGTCAGCTTCTGCCTGGGCTTCCCTCTTACCTCTGACTTCTCTTCTCCTTGATGCCACATTTTCAAGGAGCACCAATCTCTAAGGCACTGCTTTCATTTGATCAGCCCTCCCCCTCTAAAACCCATGATTCTAATTCGTTCCTCAGACACAAGAGAATAAAACCTATTTCCTTTACTAAAGGACAAACTTTCATATCTGGCTGCACTTTGCCAATCTCCTTAACTAATTTTCATATGACATCCATAGATGTCATCCTCTCACCACCTAGGATGTTCTATTTCCAATGTGTTTTTTTTAAAACAATAAATACTAAGCAGGGTGGCTTAAGCTAGAGGAAGAATGTGGGCACTGCAAGCACATGATCCTTGCAAACTATACCCTTGATCAGGACCCTTCTAGATTCACCCAGTGAGATTGGGACAACATGTATGCTAAGTAAAATGGAAGAAACAATGACAATTCCAGTTTTTGTTTTCTCAATACCTACCTTTAAATGCCTTGTGATTATGTATTAAACCATCACTCCTAACAGAACAAAGAAGTCAAGTAAATGTCCTTTCTTATCCTATAAATTTCCTTTCTTATCCTATAAAATGACTTGCCTTTCTGTTTGTGAACTATAGAAGCAGAAACCACAGAAGACTTGGACATAAGAGGAAGCACAACATTATCAACCTAAAGCTCCTCTTAGGCATATAGAGGGATAATGTGGCCTCGCCTCCAACCATTCAATGTGCCAAAGCTGATATTTAAGAGACAAGTACGTCAATTCTTCCCATCTCAGCAACCAAAAAAGGCATTGATCTCAACATTATTCACACTCTGCAAACGGGTTTGGGCTCACTGAGGAAGGCACTGACATTATTATTGTGGGATGATGGATCACCCTAGCCCATCACATCACAACCAAAAAGCATAAGTCACCAAAAGGCCAAATGTCTTGTAGATGCCTAAGCAGCCTGTCAAGGGAGACTTATTGCAGCTTACAGAGGAAGCAACGAGATGGAAGCATGTTTAGAGCTGATATAATACACATCAATAAGGGGAGAGGCACAGGGTACCATCAACGATGTGGATCAGCTAACAGGCTCCATAAACCTTTCAATTTGCTTTAGAAAGAAGTCTGTTTTATTATGTTTTCTCCTGAAAATAATAAATTAAATTAAATACAGTTCACAGGAAAGGTGGGATATAACTGACAGATTATCTTTCAATTTCAACCTGGAAAATATATGGACAAAGAGCACTGAAATCAGATCTTATAGTTCAGTGAGAAGAAGTCTCAATTGCTATATAGAAATTCCACGAGAAAAGTAAAGCACTGACTGAACAGAACAAATTAAATAAATAAATAAGTAAAGCACTGTACAAAAAAGCGATCAAACCATATGCAAATGGTTATTGATTAACCAAATTATGTGTCTTAATTAACAAAGTGTATCTGGGGAAGTGTGTGCAAAAGGAAGGGCTGATATTAAAAAAAAATCTACCCTTTCCTAATGGAAATCAAAGAGAATATCAAAAAATTGATAAAGCCAAGCAACAGTAAGATGGAGCCTCTAAGGAATGCTCTGTTTACCCTCCCTTGTTATTGAACAGTTTGACTTTTTTTTACTATATTACTTAACAAAAGTAAAAACTGGTTTTAAAAACAAATAAATAATATTAAACATTCAAGGAATTGGAAGGAAACACAGAAATAATCAGCATAACTATAGAATTAATTATTAACCATAAAACAAGAGCATAATTCAAAAAAGAGACAAATAGATATGATTACATTACATTTAATGCTCTTGAGTCTCGAACATAAAGAAGAATTCTAAATGAAATTAAAAGGTAACTAAGAAACTGAAGAAAATAAAAGCAACACAGATGATATACAAAAGATGAAGATATTTAAAGAGCTCTTACCAACCAATTTAAAAAAAAGTAACATTTTAATAAAAGACTGGTTAAGGGTAGAAACAAAGGAAAGGAGGGAGGGAGGGAGGGAAGAAAAAAGAACTTGAGGGAGGAAGGAAGAGAGATAAAATGTCAATCATCTTACTTTAAAAAAATCTAACTTCTCTAAGGAAATATACAGAAAGAGATATAAGAAGATCATATTTCAAAGAAATGAGAGTGATGGGTTCTGGCTCAGTGGATGTTCTTCTGTCTTTTTTTAACCTGTGCTTATCTGTATTTTCTGATTTTCTGTTAAGTATGTCTTCAGTTTATAATTAAAGAATTTATTTATTGTAGGAAGATTTCTAAAATTTACTTTGAAATATTCAAAATTTTTTTCAAAAAACACCCAATATTATCCCATGACCCTAAGCTAATCATCATTGGTACATTTCTATATTTCCTGTCTTTTTCAAGAAAATTGACTCATATATATCTCACTTAACATTACATGATGAGTATTTTCTTATGTCATTAAAATATTTCAAAAACAAAATATTATTTGCTTCATGATATTCAATTAGATAGATGACCAGATTCTAAGTTCAAATCACAACTGATATCTGCCAACTTCTTATAAACATTCATTTCAAACAAGATTAAACTTTTTCATACTGGGTTGTGAGAAATCCAACTTCCCTAGATGATTTCAAACCATATGGTACCTATAATTTGATATTTTTGGATAAATGAAAGAAAATGAGTCCTCCTTTGCTTAGTAATTATAAACAGCAAGTCTATAAAAAGTAAATTAATTTATTTTCCTTATTTTTATGTCTAAAAATTATTCAGGGTCAATTTTTTTTACTTTTTATATTTGCTTATTTCGTAAAAAATACTTGCCCATGAAAGACAAGTAAATGCAGAAGAATGTAAACATTTTAAGTCAAAATTCCCTTTACCCCAATGACCAATGTTAATAGATTTTTATCTTTTTTTTTTTTTTTCAGATATACAGAAACTTTCCATCCTTTATACCAACCTCCTCCTCCTCAATACAAACATACATAGAAATGGCATGGTACACTGCAACTTGCTTTTTTACACTTAGCAATGTATTCTAGAGATTTTTCTATACTACCTTTATAGATATACTTCAGGCTTTCAAACAACAGCATAATACTCCACTACACAGATGTAGTTCTTAATCAGCTAAGATAGATTGTATGTGCTACTGAAAGCAATTTTAAAACATACTTTAAAATGGACCATACACCAAAAGTAAAAAACTAAAACTAGATGACTAGAATATATGCATGATTGTGGTTAGGTGAAGAGTTTTTGTATACAACATCAAAAACAAGATTCAAAGAGAAAATAATGATAAATGCATCAAAATTTGAAAGTTGTGTTCTTCAAAAGATATTAAGAAAAGGAAAACAAAACTCCAAGACTGGGAGAAAATATGTGCAAAATACATATCTGACAAAGAACTTGGTTCCAAAACATATAAAGAAGTATCAACAGTCATCAAGAAAACGAAAGATTTGGACAGATATATCATCCAAGATGTACAAATGGCAAATCAGCACATGAAAAGATGTGCAACATTATCAGTGCTCTGAAAGTGTCTAATTAGAACCAAAATGAGATTCTACAACACACCTACTTGAGTAGTGAAAATTAATTTTAAAAAAAAAACTGACAATACCAAGTATTGACAAAGTTAGAGAGCAACCAGAAATCATATATTGTTAGTGATAATGTAAAATGGCAGTCACTTTGCAAAACTGTCAGTTTCTTAAAAACATACTTTACATGTTTACCCAAGAAAGGAAAAAGTATATTCATATAAAACCTGTATGTGGATGTTTATAGAAGCTTCGTTAAAAATTGTGAAAAAATTGAAAACAATTTTCTCAACTAGTGGTGGATAAACAAACTTCAGTACATCTACACAAGGGAATACTACCCAGTAATAAAAGAGAACAAGTAACTAATAGAACATAAAAGAGTAACCACCGTGTTTTACGCTAAGGTGAAAGAAGCCAGATTCAAAAGGCAACATAGTGTTTGCTTCCACCAGTTAGACCCTCTGGAATCAGTAAAATCTATGGACAGAAAACTGTTAATAGGTTAAATGAGACTGGAGAAGGGATTAACTACAAAGAGTACTAGGAGAGATCTAGAAGATTTGGGAAGGGATGATAAAATTGTTCTGTATCTGGATATGGGGGGTGGTAATTACATAACTGTATGTGTCAAAATTCCTAGAACTATGCATTAAAAAGGTGAATTCTACCATAAGTAAATGAGACCTCAATTTTAAGTTACTATCCTTGTACCAGTCTTTAATTATGCTCATTCACAAGATAAATTACAATTGCTGCACCAAAGGCCACTTGCGTTTCAATTTTGATAGTCTGCCAAATTGTGCTCAAAAAAAAAAAAAAAAAGTACCAAATTACACTACCACCAACAGAGTATTGTGATAAGATGAATAAGCTTCTCCACATTTGCTTGGTGCCAGTCTGGTTTTCATCAAACCCTTTTTATCTTCGCCAATCTGAGAGGTGTCCAAAGGCATCTGTTATTTTGATTTACATTTCTTCAATTATGAGAAAAGTTGAGTCTCTAGTCAAATTTTACTGGCCTTCATTTTATTTTCATTTTTTTTCTTCTACGAAATGTCTATTTGCATCCTTTGCCGTTTACGGTCTAGTTTAAACCACGGATTAGTTCTAGCTCTTTATTGGCTTAGATGGCGTGAGAGTCCTAACGCTGGGGACATCATTGCCAGGCCCAAGAAATCCTGACAAAACACTCCCAGCTCCCAGGGCAACATCAACCCTAGAGGCTCACGCCCGCTGGTCCCCACCCCGCCCGACCTGGCCCCTCCGGTGGTGGGCCCGCCCTGGGACGGAGCCCGCCCCACAATCCTCCCGCCTTCTCATTGGCCCTGCCTGCTGTCCCTAACAGCCAGTCTTTTGTCACTCAGCCTGAGTAGGCGACGCTCACTCATTTGCTGGTAACGGCGACCGAGTTCCGCCAGTGGCCTGTGCTGTCCCTCACCTTCTTGGCGGGAAGTCAGAGCTAACCGCCAGCCGTTAGGGAACCGACTCGCTCAAAAATGCGCCTCTCACACTCAGTATCACACTTCTCCCCAAAGGGGAGGAGTCTTTCCCGCCAACGCAGCCTCTGGGGGTGAAGATGCGACCGGTTCAAAGCCCTTCTGCCTCTAGAAACGCTGTTCCCCTGGCAACCAGAAGCAGGACGCTCCTAGTCTCGCGATAAAAAGAAAAGGAGCATACCATCCAGAAATGGGACGTAGGGGTTCTGGGCAGCGAGGAAGACTGCTATAACCGGCAACGGTGAAGAGCTGGGGTGGCTCTGCTGTCTTCTGTCTTTGCAGCCGACGTTGTGCTTGGGGAATAATTTGTTCGTATTTAGGCTGGTCTCAGAAGGGATAATTCCGGTGTTTGTTGGTCTTTGGGTCCCTGTTAATGATTTCTTTCCAGCTAGCTACCCTTTCTGATCTTGGTTTCCTCCACCATAAAATGAGGGCGATAATTATTCCTGCCTTTTAAGTCTTGTACAGCTGAAAGCGATCATGAACCTGAAGCTCTTGGTAAATTTTGGGTGGTGTGTAAATTTGTTTAAATATTAATTTTGCACAGATTGGGCCATAGTCCAAAAAGGATAATAATTGCTACTTGCACCTTTTATTTTCAATTTTTCTAATTTAAAGTTCATTAGACTTTCCCTAGACCCTAAACTGATTTTTCTCATCCCTAGTACCATCAAATTTCTGCTGCATTCCACTCTCCAGTCTGGACAGTGCTTTACAGTTTACAAACCATTCTCACATTCATGGCCCCTTTGTCCTCATTATTTTAGGTAGGTAGAATGTATATTTTTTTCGGTCTTTCTCAGTGGAGCAAATAGGCATAGGTTAAGCGAATTGCCGGAAGAACACAGCTATAATCTAGGACAGTGCTGGTTTCTGGTGTAAATGCCATCCACATGCTGATGAACCTGTATTTTTATCTCCAGTCTAGATTTCTCCCCTGACTTCTAGACTCCTTTATCTAACTGTGTATTTAACATTTCTGCTTGGGTGTGTAAGAACCATCTCAAACTTAAAAAGTAAAAAATTAAACTACTTCCCCACTCCAGCCCCTATCTTAGTAAACAATAATTCCATCCTGCCAGGTTCAGAACAAGAACTTTGGAGTCATCCTCAATTCCTTGTCCTCTCATAATTTGTTATAAAGTCTTTCTACATTCAACATATATCCAGAATCCAAGCAATTCTCATAACCTTCAAGGTTTCCATTCTGGTCCATAGTGCCTTCATCTCTCATAAAGATTTTTGCAGTAATCTAACTGTAGTGGGGTTTTTTATTGGCTTGTTTGGTTGGTTTTGTTGTTGTTGTTGTTGTTGTTTTTCCTTAAGATTATCATTTTATTCTAATTTGTTATATATAACAGAAGAATGCACTACAATTCATATTACACATAGAACAACATTTTTCATATATCTGATTGTATATAAAATATATTCACAGCATTCATGTCTTCATACATATACTTAGGATAATGATATCTATCTCATTCTGTAGTGGTTTTTTTGTTTTGTTTTGTTTTGTGGTGTTGATTGTGATGACTTATTGTTGTTGTTGTTCAAGGGGCCTCCAGCTCCCTTACTCTACTTTCAATACAGCAGCCTGAATAATAATTTTAAAAGCTGTCAAATGAAGTTACTCCTCTGCTCTGTTTCACTTAGAGTCCTTACAGTGCCCAGGAGTCCTAAATGATCAAACTGTTACTCACTGCCCTCATTGTTAGTGTTTCTATGCAGGAATTTCTTCCCAGCCCTACTTGGGAAATTCACACTTTTCTAAATCCCAAATTTTTAAAAAGTTGAGAAATCAAGAAAATGAGAGGAAGTATTCTAATTCTCCTATGAGAATTAAACTTTAGCAGCCAACATACAGATGTTATGCAAGAGATTCACTAAACCTTAGTCAGAATCAAGAGCCGAAATGCTTGACACTCTGAGTCAGAAGTTGAGGTCAACATTTCCAGGAACCAGGACAGAAGCATGTGAGAGAAGCATAGTCACAATCTAATCTGTCAGTCTTGCTTGTAACTAATGCCATGTTATAAGTGTATGTTCCTGGTCCTATCTGCTGCTGGCAGTGAATCATTCTTGCAAATAAAATAAATATTAATAAATTGATATTCACATTACACTTTATATAAATTTTTTAAGCAGTGCTTGAAGAAATGGCTTTGGGATTTAAAGCAAGTCCTTAAATTAGGAAGTTCCAATCCATGATTCTAACTAGTGTGGTACTGGTACTGATTCTAGTGTGGTACAAATCTCACTGGTAGATTTGCATGTGAAAGAAAATGAAGGAGGGAAAATAGCTTAGTGGTTCAGCTCTTGCCCAGTATGCATGAGGCCCTACGTTCAACTTCCAGTACCCACTCCACAAAAAAATAAAGAAAGAAAAGTGAGGCAACTAAAGCTAAGACTTTCTAAAGGGGAATCGGGAGATTTGGGGAGTATTATACTCACATCAGCTAAAGGTCAAAGCACAGAATGTTCCAACATACGGAATAACAACTAAGGCAGTATTCACTGGCCTTCAACATCTCTCAGCTCGGAGTACCCTAGTTAACTTGCCAATCACAATGGGTTTGCAATTTAGGATTTCTGCCAGTCAATGAACTGTCTCTGAAAACTACTCTTTGTGAAAATCCCCTACGAAATACTTCTCTTGTGCTTACCATTGGGAACAGGGCTATCCTGATTCAGTGTACCCAAACTTCAGTTGTTTCCTCCAAAAATGCTATTATTTCCTTTCACCTCTATATCAACATTCTTTAGTTAACAGTTATATTGTTCAAATATTTATCCCATGATGTTCCCTATGTTTTCCAACAATTGAATATTTACTACAGGTAACAATTCTTATAAACACTTACAAATTTAGAAGCTCTTATTTTTAAAACTAATGCTTCAAAGAGTCATATGAGCAAAGAATATGAAGAAAGTTGGAAATATTTTAATAATAACTGACAGGGCTGGAGGCGTAGCTCAGTGGTGAAACCTATGCTTAGCATGTGCAAGACCCTGAGTTCAATCCCAAAGAAGAAGCAAGAGAAGAAATGGAAAAAGAAGAAGGAGGAGGCAGAGAAGGAGAAGAGGAAGAGGATACTTTTTCTACATTTCAGAGATTAATGTCTGTCAGGACCTTGGAAATAAACACATACCAGCTTATTACTTCATCTGCCTAGAATAGTTTCCCAGCTATCCATGTTACTGGCTTCCTCTTTCCTAAGGTATCTGCTTCCTTAAGGAAGCCTTTCCTACCCACCCTATATAAAATAACAATCCCCATAACCACATTCCCTACCTTCTGTACCCTCCATCCTATTTTGTTAGCTTTCCATTAATGTAACAAAATACCTGAGGTAATCAACTTATAAGGGGGAAAAGTTTTATTTTGTCTCATGATTTCAGAGATTTTAGTCCATGATAACTTGGTTCTGTTGCTTTGGGCCTGTGATGGCACAATACTTCATGGTAAGAGCACATGGCAGAGGAAGGTTGCCAACTTCATGGCAGCTTAGAAGCAAAGAAAGAGAAGGAAGGGACCCAATATTTCCTTGAAGGGCATGTCCCCAATTATCTAACTTCTGTCCACAAGGCCCCACTTTCTAAAGGTTCTACCATCTCCCAACAGTACCATAAGCTGGCACCCTTTGGGGTACATTTATCTAAACTACAGGAAATGCTTTATTTTATTTTTAAGGAGGAGAGGTACCATTATTGGGATTCTGATACTAAATAGCTGGGAACTTGCAGGTAGATTCATAAGCTTTTATGGGCCACAGTTTCCTCATTTGAAAAATGAGGTTAGACCAGTTTTTCAGTTCTTCACTCTACTGCACATGAGAATTGCCTGGAGATTTTTCATAAAATACTGATCCTTGGCCAGGCACGGTAGCAAATGCCTGTAATCCTAGTGGCTCAGAAGGCTAAGGCAGGAGGATTGAAGGTTCAAAGCCAGCCTCAGCAAATTAGCAAGCCCCTAAGCAACTCAGTGAGACTCTGTATCTAAACAAAATATTTTTTAAAGGGATGGGAAAATGTGGCTCAGTGGTTATGCACCCCTGGGTTCAATCCCTGGTACCAAAATTAAAAAAAAAAAAAAAAATACTGATCGCAGGGCCGCACCTGAGATCAAATGAACCTGAAACTTGTAGAACTTCTCAAATTTTAACATGCAGACATATCATGTGGGGATCTTGTTAAAAATGCTGATTCAGTGTCAGGTGGGACCCAAGATTCTTAACAGGCTTTCAGGTGATGCCAGTGCTTCCGGTCTACCAGATACAGACTGAATCCGTAGCTATAGACTGGTAATCTCCAGTGCCGGCACAATGTATATTTTCCATGAGAGAAGGCCATTCTTTCCAGTTTTTATTTTTGGTGACTAATGGTGCCCATTAAGAAAACAATAGATTTCATGTTTCTTAGCAATAGGTGTGGGGGATGAGAAAACTAAGAAAAAGCAGAGTTATAAATAGTACACATGATGTTACTAATTATTAGTGAATATTAAAGTTTTTAATATAAAAGTCAGGATCAATGGAAACTTGGTGTCTCTTCGCTCTTTGTAGCCTTCCCAAGTTAAGTCCCTACTAGTTACATTTTATATAAAACTCATCTCATTTTGAATTGTTTTTTGTCTCTGTGTTTTTCTCACTTTATTTGCCTCCTACTGCTTCCATTTTGCAAACTGCTGAGAGACTGTGTGTGCCTTGAGAGCAAACTAATAAACTGTAGTGGCTGTGTATTTGTTTCTGGAAATATTTCTGTGTCAGCTATTATGGGTGTCTCCTTCAAAACAATTTAACATTCAGATATAAGTCAAAAAGCACCATATATTTCTGCATTTCTGCAAACATAGTCTATAAAGTGTTATGCCTTTCAAAGTAATTCATAACAATTTCTCCTAGAGTCAAGATATTTTCAGCTAAAATTTCCCTGGTCTTACTCCAGGTTGATGACATATGGTAGTGTTGG